CTATGTCATTCCCATTTTTTTTTAAAAAAAAAAGATTGCACGCTTTCTTTTATCTCCCCCCCCCCCAGCATCCTCCTGAAATCATCCCAATTATTCTTCAACACACACAATTTATCCTCAGCCCATCCTTAGTATCTTAAGTCTTCCAGACAGAGATAAATTTAATGAACGTGGGGAATTAAGTATATCTTCTCTTCAGGAAAACTGGCCGATCCTCCCTCGCTCCTTCCTTCCTGCCCTCCCCCGCCATCAGGTATCCTAAAAAAAGCCAGGAGGAGAGGAGATGAATGTTATGCGTGAAGGCTTGGGAAGAATGGAGGAGTTAGGGCAGCATTTGAAGTCCAAGGGTTTGTGGATCTCAGCTGGCTTTGGGACAAGAAAAGCCAGGTGCAGGGCAACAGGAAGACCCAGATTTCTTCCGCGTCTCTTGGCTTGGAAGCCCAAATCTACTCCTGACACAGAATCAGATGCTAGAGGATGTCTACTCAGGTTTCTGGGAAGTGGAACGCGACAGGAGCTCTGAGCTTCAAGCTGGAAGAAGGCCACCAAGAGAAAGCCAAGAAAACAAACACCTGGCGAAGGAGCAGGAGTTCCACTTAGGGGATTTCTGGTGCTCCCTGTGGTGACCGGACCGCTAGGCAGTAAAACAGAATAACACAGAGGTCTTCAAACTTGGCAACTTTAAGCCTTTTGGACTTCAACTCTGGGATTTCTGTGAGTTAAACTCCACAAGTCTTAAAGGTGCCACGTTTGGGGACTTCTGGAATAACAGAATAGGAAGACCTAGTCTCCATCCCTCTTCAGCCACAGAAGCTCGCCCTGCAACTTTGAACCACTGGCCCAAGATCCATTACAGTTCAGACATGAAGGTGCTGAATTAAAACAGGTCGCCTCTCAGTCACAGAATCCAGCTGGGTGATTTTGGGACAGGTCCTTCCTCCCTTTACTTTTATCGTTTACCTTTGTCCCCTCCTACGGCCCGTTATTGGTCCCAGGAGGCTTCAGGGAGGCCTGCTAGGCCCAAAATGGAGCTCGGGGGATGCCCAGGTGTGGGAGGTCATGCACATGGTGGGGCAGCGGGGCGCTGGGGGTCATGCATGCGCAGGGGAGCAGGCGGGGCACATTGCCTTATGGGGTATGCGAAGAGAAAACTGTGCTAGGTTGTGGTTTATAACTTGCAGTAAACAGTTGGGGTTAAATCATCATCATTGTTCTTTAGCTGGGGGAACATATTATTCCATTGTACTTTTGTCAGAATAGAGTTGGAAGGGACCTTGGAGGTCTTCTAGTTCAGCCCACTACTCAAGCAGGAGACTCTATATCCGTGATGAGGACCCTATCACACACTACACGGAGCCATTGGTTAGGGCACGCGAGGTGCTGCCCTGTCAGCTGGCCAGCGCACATGTGCACGCTGGCCAGCTGACTTCGCCTTCTTTTGAGCCCGTTTTTCGCCCTCCGGAGGCTTCCTTGAAGCCTCTGGAGTGCGAAAAACCGCCCTTACGGGCAAACTGGAAGTTCAGTAACCTACTTCCAGTTTGCTCGTAGGACTGTTTTTCACCACCAGAGCCTTCAGGAGGCTTCCCTGGAGGCCCTGGAGGGCAAAAAACTGGCCCTACGAGCAAACCAGAAGTGACTCCTGAGGCCTCCAGAGGGCGTCCAGGAGGCGAGGGAGGCTGTTTTCGCCCTCCCCAGGCTCTTAGAAAGCCTCTGGAGCTTGGGGAGGGTGAAAAAACTGTGCCAAAAGCACGAGGGGAGGGCAGTGTCGCCTGCATAGCATTATGGGTGTGGCACGCCCACGCACGACCCCCGCCCTGCGCTCCCCCCACTTTTGGCACGGGAGCCAAAAAAGGTTCGCTATCACTGCTCTATATCATCTCAGGGAAATAGCTGTCCAATCTCTTCTTAAGCCGAGGTGGCGCAGTGGTTAGAGTGCAGTACTGCAGCCACTTCAGCTGACTGCTATCTGCAGTTCAGCGGTTCTAATCTCACTGGCTCAAGGTTGACTCAGCCTTCCATCCTTCCGAGGTGGGTAAAATGAGGACCCAGACTGTGGGGGCAATATGCTGACTCTGTAAACCGCTTAGAGAGGGCTGAAGGCCCCATGAAGCGGTATATAAGTCTAACTGCTATTGCTATTAAGTGCTTCCATTGATGGAGCAACCACAACTTCTGAAGGAAAGCCATTCCACTGATTAATTGTCCTCACTCTCAAGAAATTTCTTCTTCGTTCTAGGCTAAGAAGGTGCCTATGGATATTCTCGAGTCATCCAGGTCATGGTTCACCCAAAGATGCTTTTTCAAGAGGCAGCTGGATTTTCTGGATTTTCTTTCATAAACGCCTGGCACAACATAGGAGAACAAACCCAGCAGTCCATCTGCATTTAAAAGACAACAGGCATTTTTTTGAAGACAGCAAAGTCCCCATTTTGGACAGAGAGGACCTCTGGTTTGGAAGAGGAGTCAAAGAGGCCACTTATGTCCCAATTGAATAGTCCTCCCTCAACAGAGGGTGAGGGATACGACATCATCTTCTATCTCCAGCCTACAACATGGTCCTTTCAACAGTTCCCAGAAGGCTCCACACTCATCTGCACTACTCAGGTAAGCCTTCTGGTGGCCTCAAGGACTCGTTAAAAGGATGCAAATGACCAAGCTGTCTGCAAGGAGTATAAATCCTTCCATTCCCCACCATCCAGTCAGAACTGAAGAAGCTTCTTGGGTGAGAAGCGAAATGTCTTCAAAGAAAAGAAGAAGAAAAAACAGCTTCCTCTCGGAAAAGCACCTTTGGGTTCTAGGCTGCTTAGAAAACACCACCATTCCCACTTTGCCAAAGGTAAGGATGGAAAAATGGTCCTATTCACCATTCCGAGGGGTGGAGGCCGCCGTTGGGTTGCTCCAATCACTCCAAATGCCGGCTTTCTTTGAACCATAGATACCGACAGGATTGCAGCGGATTTGGACGAAATATACGGTCCCGGGCCTTAGGCCTGCCAGCCGGCACGATGTCTGGTTGCTAACGTTATCGACCACCTATCAAGAGAAAGGGAAATTTAATTTTTAAGAGAGGCCTGGTTCTTCCATCCATCGAAATGCAAACTTTGGATGTAGTTGAAGAGAAATAGAAAATTCTGGAGGTTAGGAGAAAAATGATAAATGCTTTAAAAAAACAACAGACTAGCCGAAAACCCGGCATTGCCTGGGTATTTGTTTATAGGGGGAAAGTGCTCGGACCAAATGTAATTTCTAATGTTGGATTTTCCCCCTTACCAGAGGGAGCCCCCTTGTGGAGTACTGTGAAGCCATACCCATGGCAACTCCACTGCGTTGCACAGTAGAAGTCATTTTACAGTAGTACAGTAGAAGCCATTTTAAGGCACGGCAGCATGTATCTTAACAGAATATACACTCTGAGGGGTTTTAGGGGTGTCTTATCCCCACAATATTTGTTTCCAGAGAGTAAATCATCCATGTACCAAGTTTGGTTGATATTGCTTGAGGCGTTCGAGAGTTATGCTGGAACGTGTACACAGACACACGGATATCTATCTATCTATCTATCTATCTATCTATCTATCTATCTATCTATCTATCTATCTATCTATCTATCTA